AAAAAAAATCCATGATTTAGCTGAAATTTGAACATGATATACATATGATCTGACAACCTTAATTACTTGCCTTTAATATGTGCTGAAACAGGCCATATTAACTGGTATTTGTAAATGACAATCATCAAGAATATAAATATCAGTAAACGCTTACCAACGTCTGGCAATTCTTCCTCAATATTTACTTGTTTGCCTACTGCTCGTAATATCACTGCCTGAGTCATTGCTGTCTTAAAGGGCAGGTGCTGGGCATTTTTTATCCTTGTTCTAGACTCTTTGGAACATTGTCACCTTCACATGCTTTTAGAGCACATATGTATTATTGCGTGTTCTGTCCAGGAAGAAAGAACGGCCTTTGGTAATGGCTGTCTGAACATCCCACAGAAGACGGGAACAGCAGCAACACGCTGTACAACAGAAAAGCACTTTTGAATATTTCAAATCTATTAACAGGAAGGTTCAGGTACAGGGAAAGAAAAGTACAAATTCTCCTGCAATTTCCCTGGAGACTTTTCCAGCAAGCGGGAATTAAAGTGCAAAATGAGATGTTCACAGAATTGGTTTGTTGTTGTTGTTGTTTCCTGAGAAAATGGAACTACAGGCAGAAATTGGTCTGCTCTCTTGGCCTTTTACAAATTTTCCTATTAAGATAATGATGCTTTGCTTGTGCAGAAGGCTGGAGCAGTGACTATGTAATGTGACATGGCACTAGCCTGTCTGCTTCCCAGCAGCTCTCCTGGATCTCTCCGGGGATCCTCTGACCATGGAAGGGGCGTTTCCAGAAGGCAGGGGGAAAAGAGGTCAACTGGTCGACCATCATGTCCAGGATCTCTAATGCCAATTTGCCGAGGAATCCTCTTTTGATGGGTATCTGTGAATGGGGTGGGGAGGGCGGTGAGTAGTGCTATTTATGTCACTTCCCTTAAAGGAAGGGTGGAGCCCACTCAGGCCCCAGAGAATTCAAAGGACATAGATTTGGGAGAGACACTCAAAACAAGCACAGCTAATAAGTGAGTGATCAAGTGGGGAACCGGATCGGATATTTCCACAGGAAACTGCTGCTCCTCTGCATGATGGACGCCCCCGCAGCAGCCCTTATGGGGTGTGCAGTCTCAGCTGCCAGTGGGGCTGGGAAGCCCGTGACCCGCTGGGGCTGGGAAGCCCGTGACCCGCTCGGGCTGGTAGAAAAGGAGAAACCAGTGGCCTCTGTGCCCAGGCCTCCCCAGGGCGTGAGTCCTGGGATCAATCTGAAATCCAGGGTGGAAGATAGGAGCGACAATCCGCACCGAGGCCACGACACAATCCACACCTGACAGTTGGAGAGTATCAGGGCCTGGATCCTGGGGGGCGGCGGGGGCATGATTTGCTTCTGCATTTTGGTGGGAATCAGTGTGGCATGGGGCACGGAGCCACCCGAGGACGACCAGAGCTCACTGGGAGCACCAGGACAGGGGTCAGCCATATCCTCAGGTCATCTCTCCTGTTCTTTGCCTTTATCCCCCCAATTAGCACTGTCCCTAAATCTTTGAAGTGACAGAACACCATGGCAGAGGGTGTGGCAGAGGGAAGCGGCTCAGCTCTGGGAGCCAGGAAGCAGACTGAGGGAGGGAGGAGCCTGGGGACAAGATGTCACCACGCCCCAGGGCATGCCCCCAGTGACCTGCTTCCCCTAGCCATGCCCCACCTTTCAGAGTATTGATCCAGCAAATGGACGGATCTGCCGCTTAGATTAGAGCTCCCATGATCTAACCATTTCACCCCTGAACATTTTTGCATGAACACAGGAGATTTCAGGGGACACCTCATACTCGGACCACAGTCCTGGAGGTCTACTCTGGGTCTGCGAACCATGAGAAATAAAGATGCCTCCGGACATGACATTTCCATAAGGACAGTTGACATTTCCCTCTGCAGTATGGATCTGAGCTCCTGACTTAACTGCCTTGGATTCCAAGACCCAAAATTGTCTAAAGCTAAACCTTCTGGACTGTCCCCAACATAAGTAGCCAATGAGAGGAGAGCAAGAGACACAGGAAGGTGATTTAAACAAAAAACACCTTCACGGGTCCCTAAAACCATTATCTTTCCTGCAGTGTTAGCACGGAGCTGACGATATCAGTTACGTTTGAGCTAACTTCTCCATCTTGAGAGAATTAGGATCCAAAGAATATAATGAGAGCCAACCAGTTTTTATACAACTTTAATTTTTTAGGATTGGATCTACTCTTTCCATTTTCAGTTATATATATATTTTTAAATCCAAATTAAACAGCCACTTATACCTTGCCCTGCCCTCTCTGTAAGTCCCCTCATGGCAGGAAGACTCTGCAAGACACATTGAGTGGGAAATCCAGGCTCAGAACCTGGAGAGATCACCCTGCACACTGGTCCAAAGTGCATGGCTGACGGCAAGTGAGACGTGGCAGGTGTGTGGTTTTATTCCCCGCTCTAATAAGAAGGACCATTTTTTGTGCTGTTAACCAGGGGGTTCCATCTTGGGGGTCTTGTTAAATTGATTGGCAAATGAGAACTTGGAAACATCCTAGAATGGGAAGGTTTACTGGAATTCCGTTGGGATGTGGGCGGAGGCACCTACTCTGGAATCCCAGAGCAGTCTGGGAACAGTTCTAGAACATTCACTGGGACAGTGTGAATGAACCATTTTGGAACAGTCACTGTTAATCTCAAAACTAGTGGCTGGACCCAGCTAACCACAGTTCTGTCCAGGGGCCTGGTGAGGAGCCGTGCTCTCTGGGTAAATGTCACCAGAGAGCAGCATGCCAGGAGAGGGGCACCAACAAACTCTCTGGCCACAAAGGCCTTCTTGGGTAGATTCAGAGTGTGATTGTGGGCATCTAGCAGCCTCTCTGCCTCTGTGAGTCTTAAGGACACTCGGGATGTTTTCCTTAGCGTTGACGATGCTGGGGAAAAGAAGAGCTCTAGGAAGCCATCCTGAGAGAGAAGCTAATGGAGGGTGACGTGTGGGGACTCCAGCAAAGCCAGCGTACAGCAGTCTCGTTTTCATGGTGTGTCGAATTCGATCTAGGCTTCAGCTACTGTGCGTAGGGCCAACATCTCACAAAACTTTACAACCCAATGTGACCTCCAGGGACCTGGGCCAGCTGGGAGACAGAGCAGCCAGGGCTCCTGCCTCTGCTAGTCTCCCTCCTTCCCTCTTTCTGTAACCTCCACTTCCAGGGTGGAGATTGACTCTGCCTTTGGCCACACCCATCCATTTGCACATCTGTTCACACAGAGTGTTAAAAAAAAAAAACCCTAGGGTCACTTCAATTTACCAACGTGGACCTGAGCAGGACAGAGGTCCTAGGACTCGGCAGCACCCCAGGCCAACAGGGCTCAGAGTGTCTGCTCTTACAACGTGGCAAGCCACTTTTATAACCAGGAAGACAGGAAGGGACATACAGAGATGGTGCGACTTGGCGCTCGCCTTGTTGGAGCAGAATTTGGCAGCCTTGGACTTCTAACAAACAAGAAGAAAATGTGTCTTACTTACGTCCATCCTCGTGGAGTCTCTCTGTCACTCCCAGCCCAAGCCAAACCTTCAGGACTCCACAATTGTTCCTTTTTTTTTTCAGCTGTGAGCATGAGGGCCACCCCACCACGGAGGGCCATCTGTTGGACTCAAAGTTCACAGACCCAAATGTAAGCCTCGTCCAAAACATCACAGAAATATCCAGAACAATGCATGACCCTACATCAGGCCACCGTGGCCCAGTCACATCGACACATCAGTTAACCGTCCCAGGATGAGATCTAGGGAGTCACTGGCCTGTGGGTGGGTGGGTGGCTGGCTGGGGAAGGGTGCCCAGCTGGTGGCTTGACCTAGAAGACTTGAGGGGAGAGCAGATCCCTGAGGGCATCGCGAGGTACAGGTCAGGGCAGGAGCAGCAGGTACAGCCAGAAGAGACGGAGAAGACACCTGACCAGTCCCCAGAGACCAGCACACGAGGGCAGCCAGGTCGCCCCAGGACCCGGGGGGCCTCAGGCTCCCAGTGAATGAGTTACAGAACCTGGGGACATCAGAGTAGAGCTGGCATTCAGAGAGGCTCCCTGTCCAGCAGGAAGGCCATTGTCCTGCCCCTGGACAAGGCTGCACTCAGAGACCAGGCAGGCCAAGGCTCCTTCCGTTCCCACAATGAGGAGCAGATGGTAGTTTTTTTTCCCCTTTCGCATAGTTTTGCTTTCTACATTTTGATGTTGGCTGTTTTATCGACAAGATTATGTCATTCTTATTTTCATTCTTTGGGTATGAACAATATAAATCCTGATTTCACTTTTGTTTTGATTGTCCTGAAATATTTTATGCATACTTTCATATTCAGTTTTAGTGGGTCATTTTGCTTCCCGTGGACGTCTCACCAATGACACGTAATTAGATGGGTATGTAATTATGTATATGAGACTTCATCTGAGAATCTCTATTTTTTTTTATTGGTACATTATAGTTAGGCAAAATAGTTGGGTTCGTGGTGGCATAATAATGCATGCACGGAATTTAATTGATTTCATTTCAGTCCCTAGTGAAATCTCTATTTTTTATTAAAGATTTCACCACCACCACCACCCCTCTCCAAAAAATAAATAAATAAACAAAGGACCGCAAAGACCAGGAACCTGAGGGCATGGCAGAATGGTCAAGTTCCTTTCCTGTCCTTGACCATGGGATTCAAAGCCAGATGGACCTGGGTTCATCCTAGCTGTGTGATCCTGGGCAAGACAGCCAACCTCTCTGGGCATCAGGCTCCTTGCTTATGAGGTAGGGTGGCTAGCCCCTCCCTGATGATTAGTTGCTATGGAGATCAGATAATTCACTTACCCCATGTGGCTGGCCATGATCTTTCCGTGGAACACACAGGAATAATCTTGTTGTCTCTGCTGGACTGTTTTTCTCCTCTCTCTCTCTAAAACCCTCTAAAGCATCATCCAACGCCACCCCCACACACACTCCAAATTTTGTTTTCCTTTTTGTACTTTGGTGCCATGTGAGGACTTCTATCACTTCAGGGTCTCTCAAAGGTGTTGGATGTCTACCTGTGCTCCTTCTAAACACATTCAAAAATGTTAAGAACCAGTCTCATGTGGCAGCTGCGCTTTAAAATTGGGTTGAAAATTAAAATATTATAAATTGATGCTGTTGGAAATGAGTGAATTGCCAGGGGCTTAGCAGCCACGACAAGGGGGGACCCTGGTGGGCATGGGGGGTCTTTTGGGGGTGAGGAAAAATGTCCTGGCATTAGATAGTGATGATATTGGTACAACTCTGTGAATGTACTAAAAATCACTAAGGAGTACAATTAAACATGGTGAATTTCATGTGTGTCAATTACACCCCAGGAAAATCAAATTGCTGTTGGCTGGGTCAAGTAGAGGACTGCTTCTTTCTAAAGTCAACTGTTACAAAAATGAGGCATTGCCTGCACACAAGATATTGTTGATATTCACCGTGGTACTCCATGGCCATGCCCCAGAGTTACAGTAAGTGGAACTGGCTATGGCTTCCCATCATGCAGGAAGAGGATGCATCAGCAGAGGCTAAGGTAAATTTGAAGGAGGTGAACCTTGAGCTGAGGCTCTGGGGAGGAATGGATGGACCATGGAGGGGGTAAGAAATAGCTATCCCAAAGAAGAATCCAGAAGGAGGGAGAGATCAAGGCATTCTCTTTACTGTCTTGTCATTGTTTTAAAGTTTTCATTAATTACACAGTGCTCCCAAGAGGAGACGTGAGGACTGGTTGTCTTGGTTGGCTTACTGTGGTTAAAACAGGATACCTGAGACTGAGTGATTATAAGGAAAAGAGGTTTGCTTTGGCTCTTGGTTCTGGAAGTCCAGGGTTGGGTGGATACACCGGCTCAGCCTCTCCAGCATCCTAGCCTGGAAAAAAAGCAGAATGGAAAGTGGGCACAGGTGAAAGAGAAAGTGGTAGCTAGCTCATTCCCTGCAGAGAAAACGTCTACCATTCATGAAGGCAGATCCTTCAGGGTCCCAAGTGCCTCTTGCAAGCCCCACCACCTCCCAAGCCCTTCGCCCTGGGAATCAAAGCTCAGCATGAGTCGTGTTGGGGACCAGCCATCTGTCAACCCCAGCACTGCTCTCTGGGACAGAGGAGTTGGGAGAACCCGTCTTGGCTGGGCGGCAGAGAGCCACCTTAGACAGTGGCAGGGCCCCTGGGCCACCCTGGATTCATTCCTCATTCATTCTGGTACATTTGCACACCTGCATCCTGGGCCCACGCTCGGCAAACCCAGCCGGCCAGAAAGCAAGCACTTTGACTGGCCGGGCCTTTGCAGCCTCTCACGTTGGAGAAATGAGCTTGCTTCATTTTCAAGAAACAAAAGGCCACGAGGCGGAGGGGACATTTCCCAGGCAGCCATCTTGCTGGGTGGGGGTGTGAAGTAAGAAACCTCAGGACTCACAAGGCTGGGGAAGCCAGCACAGAATGAGTGCAGGCCCCTGCTTTAAAGGCCCGTTTGACAGTTCAAGGCAGGCTTTGTGGGCCCAGCCAGGGCACGTCCGGGAACCCTCACACGTTGACACCAGCTCTCGGCTCTGCAAAATGTCATGGGATAGAGGACAAACCACCGTGCCAGGTCAGCTGGCAGAGCTCAGGAAGGTAGTGCATCCTGGGCCCTGGGGTGGATCTACTGAGACCTCTCAGCGGAATCAAGATCCCCATGGGATGAGCACCTCAGGGTTGGGAGACAGGAAAGCAGCTACCCCCGTCCTTCTGAGGCAGATTGTGCCACTCACTTGTCCAGGGGCCTGTGTCCACCCTCTGGGCTCCCGACACAGACGGTCCTTATGTCAATATCCTTATGTCCGTTCCATCTTACTGGAATATTTTGTAGGCATCCTCTTTGGTGTGATGGCAATCTGGGCCTACACCATCCTCGAAGCCTTTGGTATCAACAGGGTTCTTTGGTTGGCAGCGAAGCACAGTCTGACTTCTATTTAAATATCCACTCCTGCTCCCCACCTTCCAAAAAAAAAGAAAAAATACAGTCTGCCCTGAAAAGAAATGGTTTGGCATAGTGAACATTTAAACATCTATTTTCCAGATGGATCTCTTTGTTAAATTAAAAAAAAAAAAAAACTTAAAAAAAAAGGCTAAACCATGTGGAATGCTCCTAAGTGAATATTATTGTTTACTAGACTTCTTATTCCATCTTATGCATTTGACAATAAAATATCAGCAAGCTCATAAAGAAGGATTTTTTTTTTTTAGGTCCATAATCTTTCTAACCATAACAAAAAGGCGGTAAATATATCGTACAAGAGCGCGATGGAAAAATGTGCGAAAGTATTTCCATAAATCAAACGTAGCACTTTGGCGTCGGCCCGAACGCATTAAATTTAGTAAATTAGAACCAGATGATTTTAAAATAGAAACTTACATAACTTGACGGTGTGACACCCTCCTCCCCACTGCCCCGCCCCCACAAGTTTATCTTCATGAAGTTGCTTTGGCTGCTACTGGAATAGGTATTTAAGAAGTAAGGGCAGAGCTGGGGATCATTCATCTCTGCAGCTCTCACGGTGCCTTAGTGTTGCGCTGGGCGATTAGTAAGTATTGGTGGACGAGGGGAACGAAGTCTCAGCAACGACGAAGCCCACACTAATTGGGAAGGAAATGTAACACAAACATCTTCAGGATCCACAGGTAGACAAGACGCTACCACCCCACACACACATAATAGAAACAGCATGTCCCACTTTCCCTTCCAAGGTTCAAGCTGTGCATAGAAGGGGATGAATTAGAAATGAAAGGTGAGGTCTGCTTCTCACTGGAGTCACCATCAGCTTGGAATCTTCCTTGGCACACAATATCACCATGTAGCTTGACCATGGTCAGGCTGGGAGGTCGGCACTACACATTGACTGAGCACCTGCGATCTTTAAGATCCTACATGAGGATCCACAGGGAGGACAAACACACACGGTACGCTCTTCTCCGTCTAGGAGAACACTTCCTGGGAGCAGGTTAGCTGGACACGTAGTTCAAAGGTAAAGACACCTGACTTCAATGAAGTGAGGCAGCAAAGTATGTGTATTGCCCCGGCTGGATCCAGAGGCAGAGCACCAGGACCAGGATTCTCTCCCTCCCTCTACTCTAAATGTCTCTTTTTTGTGTTTGGACTCCTTCTTTCTTGCTATCGATGCTCTCTACAAAGAGGAAAAGACATTCATTGCTGACCATGTTTATAGTCCAAGAACCAAAGATGAACAGGGTCTCTCATTCCCAGTCTTCATATAAAAATCTCAAAAAAAAAAAATCATATGGACTCTCTCTGAGTTGCATGCCAAGTTCTTAGATCAATCACTGTGGACAGGGGGGATGCATTTTATGACCCACCAGGCCTGAGTGGCCCTTGGGACTCAGTGGGTGAATGGAATGCAAGGGATTGGTGCCATAAATATCAAGGGTATGGAATTGACATGGCTTGGCAGCTGGGTGGATATGGGAAGTAGGTGGGAGAAAGATCAGACTGAGGCTTTAATTCTAGGTACCCTGACAATGATAGTGTCAAAATAGAAGAAGAATGGTTTGAAGTAGACACTGTTCATGGAGCCTCCGTGTATATTAGAGTTCTCCATAGAAACAGAACCAGCAGGGTGTGTGTGTGTGTGTGTGTGTGTGTGTGTGTGTGTGTGTGTTAGTAAGCTTTTCATTACTATAAGAAAGTACCTGAGGTAATGAACTTAAATACAGGAAAGGTTTATCTTGGCTCACAGTTGGGGAGGCTTCAGTCTAGAGTGGGTTGGCCCCCATTGCTTTTGGAACCATGGTGAGGCCATACATCATGGAAGGACAGTGGAAGCTGCTCACCTCCTGGTGGGCACACAAAAGACAGAGAAGAGACCAGTGTCTCATAATCCCTTTCCAATGGCCTAGCTTCCTCCCACCAGGCTCCGCCTGCTGTCAATAGCTCCATGGCCAGGGACCAAGACTTTGACACGTGGGCCTTTGGGGGACACTTATCCAAACTTTAGTTGTGTGTGTGTGTGTGTGTGCGCGTGTGCGTGCGTGAATGTATGGAGAAAGAGAAAGAGATTTGTTTCCAGGACTTGGGTCACAAATTCAAATTCTACCGAGGAGGTACCCAGACTGTAGCCTCCAGCAAGAGCTGTGACAGCAGCTCAAGCTGGAAGACAATGCAGAGCAGAGTTCCTTCTTTCTGGGGATCCCAGTCTCTTTCCTCTTAAAGGTCTTCGAGTGATTGGACAAGGCCCACCCACCACCACAGTAAAGCCATTGGCTTTCCTCTGTCAACTGATGTAAATGTCAATGTCATCTAAAAAACATCTTCGCGGCCAGGCCTAGACTCTGTATCCCGGCACCGCAGCCCTAGCCAAGGAGACTGGGAAACACTGGTGGGAGAAGGGGACTGGAGGAGCCACTGCCGCGGAAACTGAAGGAGGGGCCCATTTCAAGACAGAGAGGGTGTTGGGGATGTCCAGAACCAAGGGACACATCTAAAATGTGACATGCAGACCCACACCAGGCCACACACTGGACAGACCACAGTGAAGCAAGCGTAGGGGAGTCATTTTTTATCCGTTGAACTCATTCACCACCACCACCACCATCATCATCATCATCATCATCATCATCATCATCACCACCGAAGCAGGTAATTTCCAAGTCTTCCTCGTTTCATTTTTCCAGCAGCGTAGACGCCAGCCCTGCCCTGCGGCTGCTGGCGTGGTTGGTTGTGGATGTAGGGTTGCAGAGGCAGAGGCTCGGGATGGAGAGGAGACCAGCACTTGGGGCCACTCCCTCTCCAGCCTCAGCCAGTGAGAGAGAGAGAGAGCTCGGCCAGCACCGGGGGAAGGGGAGATGGCAAAGGAGAGACCCCGAAGAGAACAGGGTTCACTCGCCCCTAACTATGCAATGTGAAAGTCTAGAGAATTTACGAAACTCACTTGGCAGCAAGACTTGATGCATTGGCCCAAAGTGACATGCCTTTGTCATCTGTCCCCACTTGGCCAGACTCCGTGCATTTGACTGCAGGGTCGTGAATGACTCTGCTGCAGAATGCAGACCCAGATCCCAGGGGAGTGTTTTGCAACACATGGCATAGCCTCCAAATCTCTTCCATGGTCTGAAATATTCTCAATATCTCCTTTCATCTGGTCCCCAGGGATTTGACCAAGGAGCTGAAAATCTGTAGTGAGGTCAAGAAAGACGTGAACTTACTTGTTCAGGGTGTGAAAGATAAGAGGTAGAGGAGAAAGGGGTGATCAGAGACTTGAGAAGGAAGAAGAAAAACAGAGCTTCCTGGGTCAGGAAGAGGGACTGTTTTTCCCATGACCAGAACTATACAGGGGGGTGGCATTTGAACGTGCTGTCAGGCCTGTGGATTTGGTGGACACCCTCATCCTTGGATTGAATCCAGTGCCTATTGGAAACACTTGGAGGGGGAAATTGCCTCTGTACTATACACGTGCAGACTCTATTCTTGTTACTCAATGAGCAGTACGGTTAACAGCTATGCACACAGCATTTCTGTTGTGCAGGTATTACAAGATGATTTAAAGTTCATGGGAGGATCTGCCTCGCTTCTGCACACATACCATTTCATAGAAGGCTCTTGAGCATCCACATGAGGTCCTGGAACCCCCCCCACTCCCCGCCATGAATGCAGAGGAACAACTTCAGAGAGTGATGTGGTGTGACGGCCAACCCGAAATGTGTCCTCCATGATCCAGGATCGGGAGGGACATGGCCCTGCTTCTTGCTGTTACTCTCTGCCCTTTCTAAGACCAGAAGCTCAAGCCTAGCACATGAGTCACCAGAACCACAGGCACTGAACTTCAGAAAACCCTTGCAACTCGCCCCCGTCGACATCTTCAAGTCTGAAATCACAGGGTGTCAAGACTTTGCAAATTAAGGGAAGGTAGACTTAACATCTGTGAACCTCAGCGGTAGAGGGAGCAAGAACATGCGTCCTGGACACTCTCATTAGCCAGGGCCCCTTCAGCTTTTCGTAAGAAGAAGAGAAACGCCCTTCATTTCTCAGCATCAGTGGGCAGAAAGGAATGTAGCCACCACACTCCACCCAACGGGCTTAGAGTGGACCCTGGTGCCTCTGCCACCCCCACCCAGTCCCAAGCCCACACTGAAAAGGCGTTCCTTCAGCAGACCCAAGTAAAAGACTGCTGATAGCTGGAGTGCTCGGTTTGCTTTCTAAATAAATCAAACTCTTCCAAAGTTTGACGGGAACCGTGCAGCCTGTGCTGGGTCCCCAGATCCCATCCCTCTCCTCCTACCCACCTCCAGCATGGCTTGGATTCCTTCTTCTCACTCATCAGCACCAGCTGGTGGTGGCCTGGGCGGGTCAGACAGGCCCTGGCCAGGCCTGCAGGATGTTTGCAGCCCAGAAGGGGACAGCAGGCAGGCTTTCTTTGAGGACTGCATCGGCCGGCACAAGAGGGGAAAATGTATGTTTAACCCCTAAAGGAATGGTCGGCCCAGTTCCTCTAGAAACGTGGCCATTTGGCGTTGTATGTCCCCCACTCGATCTCAACTCGGCCCCTGGAGTCACCCTGGACGTCGGCTGTGGAAGTTGACTTTCAGGCGTCAGTGAGGGCAAAGCTCAGGAGCAGATCAGAAGTAGAACCTCCAGCGTCCCTGGGAGTTGGGGAATGCAGTTCATAGCCTGTGGTGCTTAGCTGAACAGGAGCAATGGTGGGGGAGGGGGAGATGGGACGCTCCTCATGGCAACGGATGCCATGCCACGTCCGATGACGGCATTGGGTCTTGTCCTATCATGTCATTTCACCTATAGAGTGGCAATGCATGTGCAAGGACATCAGGAAGACTTCTCAAAAGTAACAATGTATAAAGGAAGAATTTGCAGAGCCAAGTGTACATGAAGGGTTAGCAAGAAGCAGACCCCGGGGCCTTGGTCCCCTCTCATCTGGAGGGTTTTCTGCCCACTAGGATGGTGCTGGGCAGAGCCCGGGAGAAGAGATCATCCCCCGTGCAGTCGTGGGATTCCCGGGTATTTGGTCTTGGCAGATCACCTTGACCCTTTGTAAAAATCTACAGTCTAGAGCTTCTCTCAGCAGAAGCAGTTTCCATGACAGCTTCATGTAACAAGTTGTTTATTTGGACAAACTAAAGCATGCAATAACAGAACTCCTCCCAGCAAGAGAAGACAGAGCACCTCCGCCGGCAGCAGGCACGATTTTACCATTAAAACCCCCTCGTTCCACGTAACCCTGTGCCTTTGCCCGGCTAGATACCCATAAGCGAACTTTTGCACATTTATGGAAATGAACAAACCTAAATCTTTACTAGGTGTTTCTAATTTTCCTTATAATTTCACCCCAAAGTGAATTCTCCCTAATCTTTAAAAAAAAAAAATGCTAAATGCTAAAAGGGAGCCTCCCATCGCTTGTCCTCTTTCACTAGGCTTGAGTGAATTTATTTGCCGTGTAATTTAATCTGTCAACAGATTTTAGTTCTGGGGGTAGTAATTGAGCATGCCCGAGTTAAAATCACAGTAAGCGAAAGTTCACGGTTACACAGGTTTTCAAAAGGCAGGTGCAGGTATCGCCCATCATCACCCCATTTCCAGCAGGCTACCTAGGTTCGTGGAAGCCTGGTGGTGACAAGGGACTTCCTGCATTCTTCCCTGGTTTATCAGGACCTAGCGGGGCCCAAGACACTGCATTTCAGCACTCCACCCTCGGGTAAATAAAAAGCACCTTAAAGAGTCCGCACCGAAGACAGAGCAGCCAGAACGGGGGCAGGCGGTCGGGTGGATTTTTTCAAGGACTGTACAGTGTCACACACTAAGCTTGTCTGAGTGCTGCAGGGCAGTGGGACCTCATCTTCACAGGGTGGCACCCACTGTGTCAGGCAGAAACCCAGAGGCTCTGGAGAAGCCATTTTCACTCTCTGATGATGTTTAGAGGCCACCAGGCCCCAGGTGGCTCGTCTCTGAGAGACAAAAAAGAAATCGGGAGGAATCAAATCAGAAGCGAGGCGGGGGCCCAGAGCCAACGAGCCTGTTTGGTAAACACCACCCTCTATCTGCAGAAACAATTTTTAAAAATATTGCCTGACCACCTCTTTGGCAAAATGCCATCTCCCCCCAGGACCTGGGTCGCCAACAGAGGAAGTGGGCGTGAGGCTGGCTGGCCTCGGTGAGGTCTCTTGTGTCAAAATATTAGTGGGGGGGACAGTGAACAAAGGCTCCAGCCCACACTCAAGAAAAAAGAAGAAAAATCAAACATTAAAGACTGGCCTTGGAGCTTTTCTCTAAGAATATGCTCTCATTTATCCCAAGAACTTGACCAGTTTGATAGGAGACACTTATTTCTTTGAAGAGATAGGAGCTCTTTCCCTTGCCTGCTAGGAAGTGGCTTGTTTTGGGTTGTTGTTGTTGTTGTTGTTGTTGTTTGCTTTTTAAATTTTTCTCCCTGTTGAATTTGGTGAAGACTGTGAATAGGGCTTCGAGGGGTTCAGTTACGAATCTAGATGCAGAAGGTGTTGCCACAGACAGACAGGATCCTCTCTAAGTTGCTTTCCATCTCAATGGTAGAGACTTTCATGAATGAACCGCAGGAGGCAGTAACTAGGCACTCAATGGTGAGCTACAGGCACCTGGTGGACTACGGATCCACCAGGGCCTTTTCAAATGAGTGGAGACCAAGGCCTCACTCGGAGCCCGCTGAATCCCACATACAGGGCAGAGGACTAAGCAGTCAAGGCTGCCTCTCAAGGGAAGCTGGACTGGCGGAACCCTGACCATGGCCACAGTCCCTGGGAGAATCCAGAGCACAGAGGAGGATGTCGGGAGGCGAGAGCCAGGTTGGAGAGTTTTCTAGGGAACATTTTGTGAAAGAGACGGCCTGCAGGCTGGGGACCAGGGGGAGGGGTACACAGAAAGATGATAAGAAGCTGGAAAGAGGGACCAGGTGTCTGTGCATCTGCATCCCATTGATCAGCTGTCTTCACAACTTGGGAACAATACCTGTGTCTCAGCGAGGCCCATGAGTGGGAGACTGGACCCTAAGGAACTGACACACAGGGCCTCAGAGAAGGAAGTGTGTCCAGAGGAAACCTGTCAGGTGCTGTGTACCGTGGTCAGGGCCACACAGACTCAGGAGTGAGAAGGGCTGGGTTTATATACCAGACCTGCTGCACATCTGCCCCGAAACTTTGCACATGCTGCAGAACTTCTATAACCTACTTTGAAGGATTGGTACCTGAGATGAATATTAAATGAAATCATGTTTGCAAATATCTAGTCCAGGGCCTGACACCCAGAAGAACTTCTGTCAAGGCTGAATAAGCCAGGAGTCTATGGAACTGAAGGAGAAAATTCTCACTGGCTGCTCTTTGAGAGATTTCTGAAGACTTGTGATAGAATGGAGAAGTTGCTGCCTCCAATTATTTGTTGAAATAATTTTGCTCGATGTAGGTTGCTTTTTAAAAATCAGTATCAAACTAGACAGGGTAAAACACGGTCCTAGCATGCTTTGCCTTTTTAGACTATTCCACTTCTAGACTATTCCTCTGTGGATGTGGAAGGGTCTATACTTTGGTCTGAACTCAGTCCAGATATAACTTGCATTATTCTCGAACAAAGATCAGCACATTTTTTTTTCTATAGAGGGTCAAATAATGTTTTTGTCTTTGTTTTGTTTTGGTTTGTTTTGGCTTTGAGGGCTTTGCCCTATCTGAGGTCACCACACAACTTTGCCATTACAATTCAGAAGACAATGTGTAAATCAGTACAGGTGGCTTAACTCAATGAATGTTATTTATAGCTGGGAGTAGTGGAGCATGACTGTAATCCCAGTGACTTAGGAGGCTGAGGCAGGAGGATCACATGTTCAAGGCCAGCCTCAGCCTCTTAGCCAGACCCTGTCTCAAAATAAAATTAAAAATTGAGCTGGGGATGTAGTCAATGGGAGAGTGCCCCTAAGTTCGATCCCCTGTTCCAAAACAAACAAAACATTATAGAGACAGAAATTTGAATTTCAAATAATTTTCACATCTTAGGAATTATTATTCTTCTGTTTTGTTTTTTTTCCTTCAGCCATTTAAAAATGTAAAATCTGTTCTTCGCTCATGGATACAGAACAGGCAACAGGCCCTGTGTTGATTCTGAAGGATGTATCCTAGGCCCGTTTTTAATAAATGTTATCTACACAGTTTCCCTCAGACACACACCTTTTCCTCCGCCCCTTCCTGGACACCAAGCAGAGCCTCGGGGTAAACATATGCCCTTTGGGTGGGGGTGCAGTTCAGTGGTGAAGCGCTTGCCTCATATTTGCTAGGCCCTGGGTCCAGTCCCCAGTACCACAAACAAACAAACAAACGGGTTCTTTGAAGTTCCATTTATCTTCTTATTCATTCAGCAAACACTTCAGCATCTGTAAGGTGGAGGGGGACACAGCCACCAACAAGACACCACCCCAGCCCTCTGGAGCAAGCACACACCCAAGCCCAGGAGACAGACATCAACAAATCACGACCTGTGGTGGAAAGGCCCTCATAATAGAGCCGTGTTCCCAGCACAATGGGGGCATAGTGAAGGGAGAGAGGAATTAGCCCTGAAAGGACGAGGTGGGCAGGGTGGGGGTGTTGACAAAGACACACAAAAGCGTTAGTGTTGGGCTTGCTTGACAGCAGAAGGCCGGGGCCAGGGCACACTGGGCAGGGGGACCGGCTCTGCACAATCAGGACGGTATCAACCTGTCCTGGAATGGGTGAGGCCCAGCCCTAGGTGGCGAGAGGATGGGACAGGAGGAGGGAAGAGGTCAGGTGAGGTCGGAAAGGGAGGGGTCTCAGCGAACAGCCCCTGACAGTGTCAATGGAGGCTTTTAAACTTGGTGTGATGTTTACAATACCGTGATCAGCTCCTGATCCAGGGATTAAGCAGGTAGTGCTGGGGAACACAGATTGGAGAGGTCTGGCGTGCGGAGACTCAGAGATCATCAGAATAATTCAGAAAGAGATGTGAGAGGCCGAGCTAAAGTACAGATTGTCTTCACTCTTCCAGCTGGTGGTGGGCCTCCCACACAGGCTCCCCGCCCACCTCTCTGAGCAGCAGCTTCGTCCTCTGTGAGAGGCTGCACTAGAGGAGTGCCAGGTTTGCTTTCTGCCGCTCTGGGTCTGTGACTTCGCCCTTCACTCTTAGACAACAGCCACATGGGCTCCTTCCAGGTTGTGGACTGACGCTTCACCTCCTCCTGGCCTTCTCTTGATTTTGTTCTGGGTTCCTGCCAATTTACCATGGCAGCTGGAAAATCACTTGGCTGGCATTGGCTTCCACCTCCTCGCTCCTGCCTACAGGAGCGGGTCTGGGAAGACAGAGCCCCTGGCAGCCAACCAGAGAGCAAGGCTGCCGGGCAGATACGCACACCCACCAAGGACAGTGCTGGAGCGCACAGGGGTGGGGTCCAGGTGCCCGTGGAAGGAGCATGATTGCTGGTGCAGTTACGTAGTCTGGTTTCAGCTTCACTGTTGCACCCAACAGCTCAGGGCCCAGATGCATGGGGGGCTGTTTCTCTATTTATTGAGAGACTTTGTGTTTCCCCAAAGGGTTTTTAAGGAAACACACTGAATGACACTAATGAAGTAACAACTATCTCCTTTGCTTAAGCCACATTAAAACCAAAGCTTAACGCTTTAGCTATTAGCCTGCCGTCCTTGAGTGTTTAAACAAAGGGTGAAAACACAGAAATAGATCATTCCCTTCTCAAAACACTCCAATGGCTTCCTGTCACATTCAGGAAAAAAAAAAATCCAAGCTACTTTCCACCGACTTCTCCACACTTGTGACTCATGGACACTTCTTCTATCTAAAATATTCTCTTCCCAGATCTGTGAGAGGCAAGATCCTCATTTTATTCACATTTCTGATTAAATATCACCTCCTTAGAGGGGCTTCCCCAATCACTATATTTATAAGAACGTGCAC